TTAGTCCTAGCCCTAGCCACATGGTCAGCCACGTGTTTGGCGAGTATTATAGGACTTGTAACGGGCGCATTTCTGAACGACTGCATGGAACTGGACTTGAGATGTTTTACCGCAGTCGTTGCAGAGGATCCAAACCGGTTGAACAGCAAACAACTCTCACTGGTGATGTTCGCTTACGAATTTGTGTTAGCAAGGCAAGACTGCCCCATCATTTCTTGAATCAAATAGAAACAACACATCACCATTTCCGCTGGTTTAGTTTATACACTCATTTCAACGCGCACGTAATAACCATCAAATCACAGAGCTTTACCTCGAAGCAAACAGGACAGTCATGATGTATTGCTCCTTCCACGCAAGGATGGCTGTTTTTTAGAAAAAACTGAGTAGCAGCAACCTGTACAGCATGACAATGAGTGAAGCAGATTAACTTCAGTTCTTTCCATCACTACTTATGCTGGTGCAAGGACAGGATAACTGAAGCTTACCCTAAATACCAAATTTCCAAGGCCTCCTGAAGGGAGAAAATCTACATCTTATAAAAGATGGAAAGGTTAGCTTTCACATCTTAACCATCCTTAACATTCTTCATTTGAGAACCAAATCATCAGACAAGGCCAGCCATGGAAAATAGATGCTATTAGGTGTAAAAGGGCAGCCAGTCGTGTCTCCTTTTCATCGTTTTTACAAGGAACTTGGGTGATCTGCATGAGCATTCACCATGGCTCCTGTTTCTCAGTTAACAAAAGCCACATAGCATAGTATGTTATCAAGCTTCTTGGTGAAACCTAAATACACTACATTGCATTCTGCGACCAGCAACCGAATCGCAAGCTAAAATTCTAACACCGCTACCGCACACCACGCTTTACACCAAATCTTCCAGGAAAGAATGAACTTCCAGAGTTATCACATGACACATCATCCATAATGAACACGGATGAGAGAAACCTCTTCCAGCACCAAGCTGTGCAAATTGGACCACTAATCCAACCCTGAAACAACGCAAGGGACTGTTCAAATGAAATCATCACCGAGCCAGCATTTCCATTCCAATAATATCCGAATGTTCAAGATATCCCATATCGTTCAGCTACATCAGAAATCAAAAAGAAGATAACAAAAATGTCTCCGAACGATCCTCATTCGCTGTCTCAACACGACACAGACAAACCCAAGATCGATTCCGATTCAGACTAACATCCTTCCTCCTTCAGAACAACGAACTTTGAATCCGAACTCACGATCCTCAACCAAGCGAAAGCTGCAGCCTGTAGCAAAGCTTCGATTCCACGATAGCTCCGATTAAATCAGTTTGCTGCATGTCGAAGTTTAGAGGATTCGTGCTCATTTGTTTTTTTTTTTTTCAATTTTTGTAATCGTGTGAAGTGTGTAGTTGAAAAATATAATCTTTTTTGTTAATTATGCTCTAAAATTATTTATATAAATTCTTGTCGATTCATGTTATTTTCAAATCAATAATCATGTCAAAACATATCGATTCATATCAGAAATTTGGCTAATGTCTTCCCAAATCTCTAAAGCAATCTACTTTTTACGTTGATGTATAATTACGAGGAACTAAGCCACGAAAACTGTCTAGGCGATGGGTGCAAGAAGTAAATAAATATAGTATTTTTGGAAACGTAAAAATGTGAGAATGATGCTGGAGATAAAAATAAGATAATATATTAAAATCTCACGGGCACTTTGCAGTAGCTCGCTCAGTTTTTGAAATCCTCAAGTTTATTTGTATCGAATTGATTTTTTTTTTAATTTATGTATCCTAAGATTGCTCGTTATTTAATCATTCCATTCTTCTTTTTAACCTGAAGCATGCATTAAATTGCAAAAGGCCAAAAAAGAAAGAAAGAGGATATGGTTAAAATTGCAAAAAGCTACTAGGAGAGATCAAAAAGGGAAGTGAATCTTAGAATGTAATTAGTACAAGTTAACGAGGTCAAAGTCAAATATATAAAACTCACGAAACTTTACAACTTTAATCAAAATTTGCATAAATAGTAGGGAAAAAGCAGAACAATTGGTGGTAGTTTCGGTATTCCGGATATTATACTCATCCCATTGCTCGCCTCCACTGCTAGCCACCAGGTCGCCAACACCATTATCAACTCCGATTAACAATTATATATATAGCGACTAGCAAGTCAGCGAGGAGTGGAAGATGTTGAAGACATGATAATTTGATTGAGTTATTTTGCAAAAGTGAACAGAATTGGTATAAATTTGACCCCAAAGAATGTGCAGATGACATGAACAACGTTTCTCTGAGGCGAGAGCTGGTCCTCGATTCGTTGATGCTGGTGCGCCTGTCACCATGCAAAGTTTTTGAAGGAAAAGTCTATGGAGATGCCATGAAGTCGAGAAATATTTGTTTCTGTCACATTCAATTATCGATATTTTGGCAGTTTTCTAGTCCATCCTTGCAATACCTTAGCGATTTCGGTAGTCTTTTACGCCAGCAGCAAGTGTATGCCTCATCAGTGCTGCTTGTCGTGTTTGTTCTGCGAGAGCATTTGTATAGAATCTTTTGCTACCATTCTCTGTACATTCACCCCACCCCCTCTCTATCAAATAAGAAAGAAAAGAAGTAAATGAAGAGAGATTGACCAAACTTAGTTGGTTTTGGTAAAAATTTGGTTGATGCTCTAGAGTCTGTTCTCCTTAGATACCCTTGTCATCATCTGTGGCTTTGAACAGCAGAATGAGTAATCATCATGTGATAGCTTTTATCTTCTGACTTGTACATAGGAGATGCGTCTCTGAAGCTTATCCCCTCTTTTTACTTCTTGAGCATTTTTAGCATCTGATCTGTGGCTTTTTGACTATGTATTAAGCTTATGCTGTTCATCTCTACTTCTGGCACAAGTAGAGAACTGAGTTCCTTTCTAGACTGCTTATAACTCATGCGAAGGGACGAACTGTGTAACTTCACAAAGTGCTCGTATCAGCGTCGCGGCGCTTCAGACTGCAAGATGGTCCTCAACTCAATACATGGAGGCACACTTACGATGATTTATAGTTCTTTTTCACAAAGCAGCCTTGTCTGACAACCATACCAAAGTGGAATGGGAGTCATACTATTTGAATGAAGAGCCAAACGAGGAGTTAAGTTGGCCTCCCTGTGTCATGGACTTTCACTAGAGGTCCGATGCTTCAGGGATAGCCTCTCTGTTTTTTCCGTATATAAGATGGTAAATCGGGGCGCATCGATGTATTGGCGGACAACTTCGGACTGAGATCGATGTCAGTGTGCAATTTTCCCGGTTCTTGATTGCCAAATGAATAGGGACTTCGCAGGCAGACCGGTTTTGAATGTGTCGCAGGTCTCTTTCACAGGTTTTAGTTTTTTAAAGTGCACTACAAGTCCTAAAACTTGTCACAAAAGTGCGTTTGAGTCCTAAAACTTGCAAAAAGTTCGTTTGAGTCCTAAAACTTGTCAAAATGGTTCGTTTGAGTCCTAAAGTTAACACCGTTAGATTTACTAACGGAAAATGCTGATGTGGCGCTGACGTGTCATTTTTAATTATTTTTCTTGAGACACGTGGCGCCACGTCAGCAAAAATAAAAATAAAAATAGAAAAAACTGAAAAAAAAAAAAAAAAAGAACCGGCGGTGGCCAAGAACCGGCGGTGGCCAAGCCCGGCGGCCGCCGCCGCCACAGCCACCGGGAAGGACCGGCGGAGGTCGCCTGGGCCTTCCCGAAGCCCGGCGACCCTCGCCGGCCCCGGGCGAGGGCCGGCGACCCTCGCTCGAGATCCGGGGCGAGGTCGCGCCTCCCCAGATCGAGGGTCGCCGGCCCTCGCCGGGACTCGCCGGGGCCGGCGAGGGTCGCCTGGGCCTTCCGAGCCCGGCGACCCCCGCCGGCCCCGGCGAGTCCCGGCGAGGGCCGGCGACCCTCGATCCGGGGAGGGCGCGACCCTCGTCCCGAGATCTCGAGCGAGGGTCGCCGGCCCTCGCCGGACTCGCCCGGACCGGCGGGGTCGCCGGGCTTCGGAAGGCCCAGCGACCTCGCCGGCCCGGGCGAGTCCCGGCGAGGGCCGGCGACCCTCGCTCGGATCCGGGACGAGGGTCGCGCCCTCCCCAGATCGAGGGTCGCCGGCCCTCGCCGGGACTCGCCCGGGGCCGGCGGAGGTCGCCGAGCTTCGGGAAGGCCCGGGCGACCCTCGCCGGGCCCGGCGAGGGCCGGCGACCCTCGATCTCTGGGAGGGCGCGACCTCGCCCCGCATCTCGAGCGAGGGTCGCCGGCCCTCGCCGGGGACTCGCCCGGGGCCGGCGAGGGTCGTCGTGCTTCGGGAAGGCCCAGGTGAACCTCGCCGGTCCTTCCCGGCCGCCGGGCTTCGGCCACCGGTGGTGGCCGCCGGGCTTGGCCACCGCCGGTTCTTTTTTTTTTTTTTTTTTTTTCCTTTTTTTGGTTTTTTTGGTTTTTTTTTTTCAGTTTTTTCTATTTTTATTTTTATTTTTGCTGACGTGGCGCCACGTGTCTCAAGAAAAATAATTAAAAACGACACGTCAGCGCCACGTCAGCATTTTCCGTTAGTAAATCTAACGGTGTTAACTTTAGGACTCAAACGAACCATTTTGACAAGTTTTAGGACTCAAATGAACTTTTTGCAAGTTTTAGGACTCAAACGCACTTTTGTGACAAATTTTAGGACTTGTAGTGCACTTATCCCTTTTTTATATGTACTTGTGTTTATAGTCCCAGTTGATCTAATGCACATTAGGGGTGAGCGGTTCCAGGTTCCGGGTAGGTTCCGCCCGGAACCTGGAACCTACCCTCGGAAACAGGTTCCTCAAAATGAGGAACCTACCCGTAAGAACGTGGAACCTACCCTGTCACAGGTTCCAGGGTCCAACAGGTTTCTTTTTTTTTATTTCATTTTTAGTTAAACAAAACGAAAAATGAATGCAATAATACTGAATAAGAGAGAATACAAAACAAACAAAATTATCAACAGAGGAAACAGAATTGGCTGCTATTTGGCAAGGAATTTCATTAGATAAAAGAGAGGAAACATAACAAAAGTCACTAGACTTGTCACCAAGTTTCAGTCACTAGACTTGTTAGAGGACATCACAAAATGAAATGGATGCTGCTGCCGTGCAAGAGGACATCACCAACTCCTCTAAATCCTACTTCTATGAATTTAAACATTTGAAACGAAGACATTCGTACTAAAAGAGCTAAGTTTCAGTCATTAGACATAATTGTTGTTCCCCGAGGAGCAAATGCATGGTACCCATTGGAGTTGCTCTTTTCCTGCCAAGCAAACAACATGAGAACATATTAGCCAAGAGCACTTGAACCTTTACTAGTGGTCTTTATGGAGTAAGATATTATCATATCTGAATAAAAGAACCTAAATCAAAGTATCATACCAATTAACTATAGAAATCAACTAACTTTGAGTTGAATTACTACATTTCCACATCATAATACAACTCCAACATCTCATTGCACACAATTGTCACCAAAAACTGTGTTTTACTCTAACCTCAATATTTGCATGAGTTCATACATTTCAGGATATAGCTCGTAAACCCAACACCATCTTCAGAAATCACAAACCAATGTGCATCCTGACAGTCCAGCAAACCGGATCCCTATGTTCTCCATAATCGGCCAGTAATGAAATGAGGAGGCACACAGACATAGACTCAAATCGCGGGAGAATGAATGCGATATAGATGAATCGAAGACTAATGTTGCGATTCAAGTAATAAAATGGGCAACCAAGTGTTTTGGTTCAAAAGTTTTTCCTTAAAAATAAACATAGCTTCATTCAGACATTATTACAAACATATGGTGGCCAGTTCGTACATATGGCATAGAGACAAGCTTGTGTGAGTCTGGTTCAAACATTTGGTAGAGCATGTGGTATGCACGTGGTAAGGAGAAGGAATTTAACATTTTCCGAACTCGGACTCAGATTTAGACCCAAAGAAAATCATTCCGAGACAAACGAAAACTACCACGTCAACCGACCCAAACTCAGCACCCCTATGGATCCCAAGACAAGGAACTGAGCCACGACACCAAACACCCAATAAGAGCATCTCGATCACAGCAGCTGGATTTCCCCCCAATTCAGCACCATGGCACCAACGACCACCATGATTACCCCCAACTCAGCTTGCTCTCCCCAGAAGCTACTCGAAATGCTCCACACGCGCGAAGCTCGGAGCACTGACTAGCGCTTCCAGACACGCACCGGTCGACCCGTTTCGCTGCCAAACACGAGGCAAAAGACTAGAATCGACTGACCGAACCGAACCGAAAACGAATGACGACCAGCATCCGAGCTGAAATTGAGCTCGGCGCTCGACATCGCGGAAGGGAAAATCGAACAGCGCGTAGAAATCAGAGAGAACAACGCCGGAAGTGCACCTCGGGCTGATCCGGGGCGATTGCCGGAGGAATCCGCCGGGAAATGCAGGGGTCCGCAGCCGCGAGACGGAGGGCCGACGAACGGTGAGGAAATCGTCGCTTCTCGCCGGAGATTCGTTCGACTGCGAGAGTGTAGAGAGAGAGTGGCGTGTGTGTGAGAGTGAGTGAGTCTGTGGATGGGTTTGGGGGGTGTGCGTGTGTGGCGAAACGGATGCGTTGGAATTTCAAAGGTGCGATTCAAGAGGAGCAGGGAGCATTTGGGAATTACTGAATTAGGGTTTCTTCCGGTTCCAGGTTTCGGTTCCTGGTTCCGATCCGGTTCCGATTTCAGGTTCCGGTTCCAGGTTCCTGTTCCGGTTTCCATAGGAACCGAGAATCGAAACCGGAATAGCCGGTTCCTAAAAATGGGGAACCGGACCCTCTGTCCATGGAACCTGAAACCGAATCAGATCCACCGGGTCCGGTTCTCCGGTTCTCGGTTCTACCCTAGAACCGCGCTCACCCCTAATGCACAAATATATATTACGGGATGGAAGGGGTGTGAATTGTAAATTGGTGATGTGACTTCTTGATGAATTTGCCATGATTTTTAAAAAATTTTAATCAATTCAACAATTTACTGCTTTTCACCTTACGCAAAGTAACTATTATCTCTGGGAAAATATTAAAATATGTATTAAAATAAAGTGGATTTAAATAGTGATAAGGTGAAAAAACATGCTGAGAATTTTTTTAAAATTCTTTTCATTTTTTTTCTAGTTTCAGGCTTTACATATTATATTCTTAGTCATAATCGTACATGTAATATCCTCATCTCGGGGTTATTAATGCGACGTTCCAGACGCGTCGCCGTCCCGTTTCTTTTTATCTTCTCATTAAGAGCGTGACGTCCCGTTCCTTATTTTATCTTATCATTATGAACAAGCAGAAGCATAAACTCGGGACAATTAAACAAACAACGGGATTAAGACAAGCATCATGAGCAAATCTTATATTTACAGGATGGTATATATATTACATGAGTGTATTCTACAAGCCTCTTTCTACGAGCATTTTTCCCTTTTCAACACACTACATGTATCTGCATAGGCTGGGGGAAATTCCTATCTCCTTTAGCGTGATTACAGCTCTCCAAACTGGTGTGAGACCTCCATGCTTACAAATCTGAAAAACAACGGAGTGAGTCGAGGACTCAGTAAGTAAAACTTACTAAACTCCGGATAGGAGGACGCCTCGCCATCGAACAAGCACGTGCCATAGTCACATCAATTGATAGCAGATCAATAGCAAAGATGCTTCAAACACACTTGTTCTTGTGCATAAGATGATCTCAACTTGCCTTTCTATTCAAGTAACAACATCTCAACCAAAAGCATGTACACAAGGGATTCATTATCTCAATCGTTGATACGGTTCTTCCGGAAATTCTCCAGGCAACATCCCCTAATCTAAGGGGGATGATTATTCATCTGAACTTAATCGGGCAACGTCCTCAATCAAGGGCGACGGCTATTCATCCGAACTTAATCGGGTAACGTCCCCAATCAATGGCGACGACTATTCTTTTCCCTCGTACGACCATGCCAACAAGCATCGTACCAACTTGACTACTTCACATGAAGTGTTTATCATGCCATGTTGCCTTTAAAGTTTTAAGTCATGCCGGGCACGAAACCAAGCTCGTGGCCCAAACCGACCGGTCATGGCGCTAACCTACACCAAGCAAGGCTTGAATTGGTACTCCTCAATACCGACCCTCCAAGCACGGCTCGTTCTGACACGCCTTGACGCCGATCCGAACTAAGCGAGACTCCTTCATGATCCAAGCGTGCTATCAAGCATAACGCCAAACACATGAGCAAACCTTACAAATGTAAATGCAAGCATGGCAAGCTATATCAAGGGCAAAAGTACACTACAAGTGCCATAATTTGTGTACGGCGATCACTTTGGTGCCATAACTTTTTTTTGGATCACTTTGGTGCCAACTTTTTTGAAAAACGACCTTTACCAAAAAAAACTTTTTTGAAAAACGATCATTTTAGTGCCAATGCTGACGTGGCTCGCCGGAAATCCGATGTGGCGCTGACACGACTCGCTGGAGAGGTCCACGGCTCGCCGGAGAGGTCCAGTCAGCATTAAAAATAAAAAATAATGCTGTTTAGCCAGCTGACGTGTACTTTTTTTTAAAAAAATTATATTATATTATATTAAATAAATAAATTTAAAAAAAAGGCCCTGTAGCAGCGGCGAGGGCTCCCTCGCCGCTGCTGCTGCCAAGCCACCACCGCCGGGAAGGCCGGCAGTGGTGGGCGCAGTGGGTCGGCGAGGGCCGGATCCGGCGAGGTGAGACCTCGCCGTCGCCTGGGTCACGACGGCGAGGTCTCGCCTCGCCCGATCCGCCCTCGCCGGCGAGGCGAGGGTCGCGGCTCGGCCGTGGGCCGGCAACCTCGCCGACCACCGCGCCCACCACCGCCGGCCCTTCCCCGGCGGTGGTGGAGAGGGCAGCCGGCGAGGGCTCCTCGCCGCCGCAACCTTTTTTTAATTATTTAAATTATTTAAATTATTATTATTTTTCTAAAAATTAAAAAATTCGAAAAAAAAAGCCACATAATTTCCATTTGTACATGTCAGATCATTTTTTTTAATATAAATGCCAGGTCGGCTTTTTGGCGGGAGTCACTAAAGTGATCTATTTTCCTCCGACTTGGCACCAAAGTGATCCGAAAAAAAGTTATGGGCACCAAAGTGATCGCCGTACACAAGTTATGGCATTTGTGGTGTACTTTTGCCCTATATCAAGTGTTCACAAACCACATAATTCATGCAAGTACCACAAACACATGATTCGCCCAACAACGCAACACGATACCCTAGCTAAGGTTTAGTAAGTTTAATTACAATACCATACAAGCACAACAAGAACATGACTTGTTCTACCAACGTAACACATCGCTCTAACCAAGGTTTAGAAGGTCTACTTACTACCCTCCAAGATTGGGGCCGAGTGTGGCCTAGGGGTGAGCCGAACGGCAAGGGCACGGCAAGGACACGGCCAAGAAAGAGAGGGCGGCCAAGAGACAGTGAGGCGTGAGGGAGAGAGAGAGTGGTGATGGTGGAATGGTGAGCTAAAGGGTGGAAATGCAAGAGGGGGCTCTTCTATTTATAGGCCTCTTGCCAACTTGCTAAGGAAGTTAGTCAACTTGCAAAATAAGTTAGTCAAGCCAACTTGCAAGGTAAGTTAGCCAAGCCAACTTGCAAGATAAGTTTCTATTATTGGGCAATTTACAATGAAAGTTGCCAGAGTTCTATTATTGAGCAACTTACAAAGGAAGTTATCAAAATTCTATTATTGGGCAACTCACAAAAGAAGTTATCAATAATTCCATTTACTTGCCAAGCCAATTCGTCCTCTTGCCTATGAAGTCTTTTGGGCGTGTGATCCTTGTGCCTCTCTCTCAAGAACTCCCAATCATTTGTGGCTCTCACTAACTCCAATGGTTCATTTTCCTTTGAGCACTAAACTTCACTAATGATTAACTTACTAAGCAAATTAGAACCATCGGGGGTTTTATGTACCATACACGATCGATCCTCGTATTTGGAACCGAGGTTCGGGGCTAAATAGCACCCAAACACAACCGGACCAAAATCTGAAATGACCAGGTACAAGGCCTATTCGGCCAAGTCTGACCGGGCACAAAGTTGGGCTGGACGGTGCTGCGTCGGGCGCACAACCTGAGCTGCACGGGCGCTGAGCCAGGCACATGGCATGGCCTGCACGGGTGCGGAGCGAAACATTACACGGGCACGGGGCCTGTGCCGCACGGGCGTGGAACTAGTCCACGGCTAGCACGGGGTGGGGCGCATGGCCGATCCTAACCGGCGCATGGATGGTCCATGGCCTGGCACAAGGCTTGGTCCATGACTCCTCCACGGCCTTTCCCGATCCACCGCAACGATCCATGACCGATTCGCGACCGGTCCATGTTTGAGTATCAACGATCCATGATCGACTCTCAGTTGTCATGTAGTCGCGTGGAATCGATTCGCGATCGACGCACGGCCGCTTGGAGTCAGTCCATGATCACCCGCGACCGGTGCATGGCCATGCGGAATCACCCGCGACCTACACATGTCCGCGCTGCATCGATCCATGACCTCCCGTCGATCGACTCGATACACGATCGTCCCACTGCCGACCCTTATGGTCGAACGGTCAATCCGTGGTCAATCACTCTGATGTACTTGCGTGATTGGGAAGCCTGTTCACTGTCCATCCCTTCGTTACCCGTTCCGACCAAACCGCTTGATCCATGGCTGACCCTTGGGTCGGTCACGTACCAATTCCCTATCCATTTCCCTTGATCAATCTGGGGTCCAAAACGTGGATGTCATAGTACCCTTACACATTTTGCTATTCATTTTAAAAGAATTATATATTAGATGAATATTTGAACAATACAAAGATTATCTTACTTCTCGATCAGGATTGCATGAAGTTTTGATTACTTTCCTATATCACACTCTTTAGTGAATGTGTTTATACTTTTAGTATTCCTAACCTGAAGCCATTATTCCAACGTATATTACAACAAAATATCTTTGATTAAGAAGGAACGAGGAGTATGGATTGCATTTGTCTTGTTAGAATAGTGGGTTGATTTCTCTTTTTCTTTTTCCAATATGAAAAATAAGGTAATACAATATCGTTTTATTCGTGGCAAAAACTAAATAGTATATGGTGAAATGGCTTTTCAGAGTTATGGGTTAAAATTTTTCTTTTTACTATTTCATTTCAAATTGGAAAGTATACAATCATTGATATATTTTTTCTTCTTATTGCGATTCTCCAATCAAAAACTGAAGCCCGACTTATTGACAAGGTAAAAGATGATCGACGTGATGGAAAGCCTGTAACATAAGAATTTTAGCTTCAATATGACTCCATGTTTCTCCCTTTTAATTGTGCATATTGCTCGAATGGGAAAGCAAAGAACAATTGGAAAAGTTACTAAAAGAATGATATGGATTTTCATTTTGGTTTTTAGTTGGATGAGAGTGATGTTCCACTACTGGAAGTACTTAATGGTTGTAGGATTAGGATCTCCAATTTTACTCGTGATGATGTGTGTGAAATTGCTGGTGTTATGCAATGAAAAATAGTTTTTTAAGAATGAAAATGTTAGATTCTTTCATTTGGCGAAGAAAATTGATGTTTTCTAGAATGAAAATTTGTCGAAATTGTTTGGAAAGAAAATTCGTGTCTTACCTCTAAACAAGCTTCGCTTGTTATTGGGGACAGAGTCTTGTCAATAGCACCAACAGACAAGGCGAACATAAGCCAACTGCACTTCTTTCCAGATATCAAACGTACTCCCAAGCACAAAAAGCTGTTGCCCAGAATGCTTGTGGGCTTTTTGTGCTTAACAGTATCATTCCGACATCTTAAACACTAGCAAAAAATATAAAAACAGACTCCATCTCTTGATCTTTAATTGAAGAATATCATACCAACAAGGGTACTAGAACATATCATACTTCCAACTCTATAAACAGCTACTCCTGGTTGACTTTCCTCCTCCTTGGATATCTTCTTGATCCAACACTTCCAATGTCCTGTAAATGTTCACCCGTTTGTTTCCATTTCTCTCGCTTCTTTTTCATACTGTCTTGCTTGTGCTGCTGGACGGAAGAAATGCATACTAACAAATCAAATTTTACATCTGTACATAATAACTCGTTGACTACCATAATGTTGTACCTCCAATTATACTAGCAATAAATATGCAAGATGTGCTCTCTACCTTCTTAGCATTGACCACAACATTGTCAGTATTTCTTAGTCGAGAAATGACTCTACTGCCTTCCCATCCAGGCTATTAAGAACCAAAAAATACTCAAGTTAAAAGGGCACTTATAATCATTCCACTACATATTTACTTAAAAGCAAGGTTAAAAGTACCTTTTGACTGGTGGCATTGTTATGATGCATCTCTGTGACAAGTTGGTGTCTGACTATCTCTTCATCCTGATCACTTAAGAAAATAAAGTCAGAAAATAATGACACAAATAGAGACTAGAAACACAGAATGAATGAACCTTACCTTTTTCTTTTGTTTCAATGGACAATTTCTTGAGCTATGGCCTTGCTTGAAGCACAAATAACATGTAATTTCTGTGCCCTGTCTTGACACTATATCCATTTTTAGATTCTCTTCCTCTGTCTCTTTAGGCCTACCAGGCATAATCCGAGGCGTTGGTGCCACCAAAGGTTGTCGATCACTGGAAGGCCAAATGAGTGAAATACTGCACGTTCTTAGCCAATGCCAAATGAGTGAACTGATTTTTAGATATCCTGTGACATTCCGAATTTTGGCCCATTTTTGGGATTTATAAAACGGGTATTTCGTCAGTGCGCTTATAGTAAAAATCTCGCCCGGGAACTGATCACTCCCGGTTATTATTTTTAAATCTTGAGATTTCGCTAGAATCGCATTCGATTGAATTTGGCCGTTATTTAGATCTCGAACTTGGCAGTTGATTTTCGGGAGTTTCAGGACGAAATAAATTGGACGGTGTCAATATTATCGTAGCCAGCGTTGAGATTGTCAGGAATAATGGAAAAATGGGAGTTTTTGACCGGGTGCGAATTTGGACTAGTAGACCCCCTCGCTATAGTTTGATTTAATTAATTCGGCCTTTGTCCCTTTTTATTTGCGAGGCTTATTTTGGACCGGTAGATCGCTTTCGATTTTGAATTTGGGTCATCGGATCGCATTTAATATTTGAATCGTGACCGTTAAATCGATTTTCAGTTTAAACCGTGTCCATTGAATCACGCTCGAAAAGTTTAAATCAGTCCTTTTCTCTATTTTCTCTCTCTTTCTCTCTCCTCTCTCTCTCTGCCGACTCCATTCCCGCGCGTGCCCCTCTCTCTCTCCTTCCCTCTCTCTCTCTCTCTCTCTCTCTCTCTCTCTTTTCCCCCCCTCTGCCGTGCACGTTCCCCATGCACGTCCCTTCTCCCCCTGCATGCTGACCAACTCCCCTGACACCCCTCTCTCCTCTCTCCTCCTTTTCTCTCTTCTTCTTCTTCTTCTTCTTCTTCTTCGGGGCGTCTGGTTCTGGTTCGTTTTCTGCTCGAGCCCGCCGGACGCCGCGCGATCGCCGACCGAGCTCGCCGTCCGTCCCGCCGCCTCACCGTCCGCCGGCCACCGCCCCAACCGACTGCTCTCTCTTTCTCTCTGTCCTCCGCCCCAACTCGCGGCCCGAGCTTGCCGTTCGTCCCACCGCCGCGAGCTCAGCTCGTCGGGCCGCCAAGAGCTCGCCGCCGCCTGCTACCCCGGCGACGACGCAGCTGCCCCGCCCCGGCCGAGCCCCGCCACCCCCCAGCTTCTTTCTCTCTCTCTCTCTGTCTCTCACCTTCGCCCCTCCCCACCTCAGCCGCCTTCTTCCCCTCCTCCCTTCTTGCTGTCCAGCTCGTCGCCGGTCGCGGCCGCCGCCGTCGCTGCCGCCGCCGCCCCCGCCGGCCAGCCCAGCCGGCCAGCCAAGCCGCGCCCGTGCTCGTGCCCGCGCCCGCGCCCGTTGCCGCGCCCGCTGCCGCGCCCGCTGCCCGCGCCCGCGCCCGTGCTTGAGCCCGTGACCGAGCCCGTGACCGAGCCTTGTGCCCGTGGCCGAGGGCTGTGCCCATGGCCGAGCGCCGTGGCCGAGCCCCGCGCCCGTCGCGCCCTCGCCCGCGCCAAGTGAGACACTGTTCACTCGGGCCATTTTAGGCCCGAGCCGACTTTTCCCGGGCCAAAATCTAGTAAGTGACTTCCTAAACCCTACCTAGTATTTTGGGTACTTTATTGACTTGTCTCGGGTTAGAACGGCTAGGGCGTGTTTTAATTTAATTATATTATGTTATAATTACGCTATTTAAATTAGATTAAATGCTATGCTTGACTCGGGTAATGGTGTGTGGCCGACTTGAACGTCGGGTTTGTGGACTGAGGTGGCGAATTGTGAATTGGACTGAGCTGTGAGTATGGGTTGTTTGATGCAATTGGCGTGAAATTGATTTAATTGATTGGCGCGTGCTTGCCTGTCGATTTTAAGCCCGGATTGATCGGAGGGCTACGGACTTGGGACGTGTTGACGGCGGTCCGTGTGAAGGCATGAATGGCCGATGTGCCAAATGGATTCGGGCTTGAGACGTGTTGACGGTGGCCCGTTAAAGGTGTGTTGGACCGGGACGTGTTTACGTCGGTCATTGGAATTTGAGCCCGGATTGATCGGAGGGCTACGGACTTGGGACGTGTTGACGGCGGTCCGTGAAAGGAAAGTGTGGCTTGGGACGTGTTGACGGCGGCCACTGGAATTGATTGAATGGTATGGCTTGGGACGTGTTGACGGCGGCCATTGGAATTGATCGAATTGTGAGGCTTGTGTGCCTGTGAGAATGAATTTGAGGCGCAGTGGCGCGAGTTGTGAGAAAGATGTTCGGACACGCATGTGATTTGAGTGTAATTGAATTGGCTGGTTGAGCGTGTGACTGATTTGGCTGGTTGAGCGTGTGATTTAATTGACCAGTTGAACGTGTGGTTGCTTGGCTAGGCTGGTTGAATGCGAGTGAGATTGCGTGTGCCGGGTGACCGTGATATGATGATGAACTATTCTTGCATTATCTTGTTTGGACTAATATGCAGGGTTGGCTCGTGATTCGAGGGCAAGGTAAGTATAATGATGTAAACTCTATATGTTATGGGGTAGTTTGCATGTACGACTTGTCTGGGTACGCATTGGCCTACGTGGGGTATAGGGGGTTGCTTATTGAGACTCGTTCTCACGGTTATTATATAACCATTTCAGATCCGCGACCGTGAGTGATGGGAGACGCTGCAAGGGTATCTCGGAGATCGAGGACGGGTCGAGTGTCCCGTATTTTGAGTTTCCCCTTTTGTAGAGGAGTTAAGTTCGCGAACCATTGTCCCTTTTGATGAGCGTTGTATGTATTTGCCAAGTGTAGGAATTACAGTTATTGTTTTGTGCTATTGTTACCCCTTGTCATTATTAATTGTCCGGGTTGTTTCTATTTGCTTCCGCGCGTGCCTAATCTCTGATGTTTGGGTTGGGTCGGCGACGCGTCCTGGGACGTCGCGTTCAATGATCGACCATCGCGGGATAATCGCGCGCTCGTAGGGTGCGGGGCGTGACATATCCTACCGTTAGTACAGTCAGTATCCAATTAGATATAATGCAAGCTGTACAAGAATTTCAACAAATAACGTTTCGAGGGAAAAAAAGAGAATAAAACATCAGTAATTCGTGGAATCAAGACAGGTCAAGAAAAGACTAAGAATAGGAAGTGCACCAACCTAAGCTGATCAGAGTGTAACTGGAAAGATTAATCAACCTGACCAGTGACCACACGAAAACCACTTCAAGACATGACAAATTATTGGGCAATTACTTTTGAAAAATAAATTGTCAATAGGATTCCAAAATTGCATGTTCATGACAGCTGATCCTTTGTTTCCATTGAGCTTCAATATCCCAAACAAAGTGCAATCTCAAATGCACATTAGGGGACTTTGGCGACCTTGTTCTCCACACCAGAAGCATTTTCAAATTTGGTATCAACTGCAACCGCTATCATGCTGACAGCAAGATCAACTGCAATAAGATCTTAACCTCGCAAACTTTGATTCCAAGACTTCCAACTGCAGTGGTGATACAACCATTCCAAGCCTACTCCGACAGCAGCTTCCCAAAGTAAGAACCTCTAAGTTCATTATTAACCCAACAAAGTTTAGCAGCCAAACATCGAATAGATTCCACTTTAGCATGAAGATCCAAACCTGAATCACAAAGAACTCTCTTTAAATAAGGACTCCAAAAGACCTCCATGGAGGTGCTGAATATTGTACCAAATCGAAATACAATCGTCCAAATTATTGAGCCTATATCAAACCAATTGGCTAGACTTTCAGTATTTCAAAAGCCTCTTAACGGATAGTTTCAGCTCTACGACGCTTTCGTTGATCGTAATCAGGACAATGTGGGATAAAAATAGGCGAACATCCTTCACCTTTCCAAGGATGCATTGTCAACTTCAGAGAAGTCTAAGAAACTTCGAGCTCCTGATTTTTGGATGACTTTGTTTCCTTTTGGAAGTGCCTTTCGAAAGCTCCTTTGGATATTTCAGCATTTACATCACAACTGGTCGAATAATAACCAAATCCTGCCAGTGAACAAAATGTAATCAATCTAGCAACTAACATCAGCAAACTACTAATAATACCCCAACGTTTGTCAAACTCAATATTAATTTTGTTTTTCAGCTCTTTCAATCCAACTGATAGACATCTAACATCATCAATAACAGAAGCTTTGATCAAGTTGTACAGTGAATTCAACTTAAGTTGCTTCTTTTGTGGGATATATAGTATGATTTTTTCCCTTAACATTATGTGCTATTCACGTATCAAAATGTACGCAAGACAGTTTTCAAATGGCATATAGGATAAAGGAAATTTTCGTCAGGAAACTTATGAAAATGCCTCCTGTGTGTTTTTTTTCAGCAAGTAAATGCACTAATAATAGCTTATCCATAATATAAGGGATCATTTCACAGTGCAGCCGATTATGTCAAAAGACATTCTCGTTCATGTCTACCATCTTGATTATTTTCTTGACTCAAATCTGGTAAATGACATAAGGCATTACTAACTCTACAAACATTAAGAAGTATTCTTTGGCCTAATCTTTTATTTGCCTTGGATTATTAGGTGTATCCCGGATTCAAAGCAAATGAACATGGATCCATAGTCAGCATAATTCGAGTTGCTATTTTCTTGATTGATCCAAATAATACAAAATGGTTTTGCTTCTGGCCTGTTTCCTAGTTTGTTCACGACCAAGCCGCTAGGAGAAGTTGCATTTAGCGCCTCTCAACTGATACAATTACCTTAATTAGCTTATGCAGACAATTCTGTGAGATAAAATGCATGGAACACAATTGTTGGAAAAATTTTATCCGAAGTAAGTAGTGTATGCATACTAATTTACTAAGGGATGCACTCTCAATATGTTCCTTTTGCACCATAAATTCATTCTTAAGCGTACCTTTGAAACATGCAAATCATGAACTGCTTAGTGAGCATAGAGAAAACTAAAACCTCACATCAGAAGAACCTCCATACAGGGTCCTTCATTTAGCATTTCATGATACGATTACCTTTGGCATGTCAAATGCCCGTATACTTCAGTTTTTACTCAGTAATTCCAGCACTCCAGAATCTATCGAACGCGGAGAATCTTTATTTCTCTGCAGAGGATGAAGAATCTTACCCAAAGGCTAATGACAAATGATGCACTCAGAAGGCCTTTTGATCTATTTCCATTACTGGCATGATGAGCAAAAACATTTCGCAAAAGCACACATTAACTTCCACGAACATTTCCCCGCGGATTCCTTGAATTCAAGTAAGAAAAAAATGTCACTGTTAACCAGGATACACAATGAAAAGGTAATAAATCTTAAAAGAAATTGCAAAAAGTAAATACAAATGAAAATTGGGTAATAGATCTCAAAAGAGAAAAGGTAGCTTACCTGCTTTATGTACCTTTTTCAGGAAATATGGATCATCTCAACTATTCTGACTCATCCCGATTGCAATTCTGTCCTTGGATCATATGGGGCAAATCCCCCCCTCTCGTAATTTCGAAAAATATGTGTTCTAGATAATTCTGGTATTGTTTTGAGTGACTTGCATCCAGAAATGTCCAATACCCCCAGTTGCTCCAATTTCTCCAGCCCTCGAAGCTCAGTCAGTTTCTCGCAATTTTGCACAACCAGACTCCTCAAGTTGGTACATGATGACAAATCAGGTAAGATCTCGATTGAAGAACATCCTGAGATAGTAATATATTCTAGAGATTTTGACTTCTCAAGCCCTGGGATCTCCCTAAGTTCATGACAATTTGATAGGAACAATCCCCTTAAATTATGAATATTTGACAAGTTTGGGAATTTTGCGAAGGACTTGCAATCCTCAATCCATAAACTTGTCCAGGATGGGAATTTCTCGAGGCTCTGAATAACATGAAGGTTGTCACTACAGTTGATTGCCAACTTATGCAAGTTGTCAAAGCGACATAAATCTGGTAACCTTCCAAAGGAAGTGCACCGAAACATATTTGACTCTTTCAAGAACCCCAACTCATCGAGACCTTCAATTTCGAGTAAGTTTTTGCAACATCCAACAGATAACTTCTTCAAACCCTTGGATTCTGAAAGGTCCAGCCTCTGTATTGAAGCGCACCCATAGATCTTTATCTCTTCCAAGGACTCCAACCTACCGAGACCTTGAATTTCAACCAAGTTTTCGCAATATTGAGCATTGACTATCTTCAGACCTTCGGATTTTGGAAGGTCCAGCCTCTCAATTGAAACACACTTTTTGATAGATAGCTCTTCCAACAACTCCAACATGTGGAGACCTTGAATTTCAACCAAGCTTTTGCAAATTTCAAAACGTAACTTTTTTATACTCTCAGATTTTGAAAGGTCCAACCTTTCAATTGAAGTGCAATCAAAGATGTCCAAGCTTTCCAAATATTTCAATCTGTCGAGACCTCGGACTTCAAGTATGTTAGTGCAAGATGCGACAAACAAGTTCCTTAGATGGTTTAATTGTGAAACGTCTAGTATTTCCCTAAACTTGCCGCCATGGATTTTCAATATTTCCAACTTAAAAGGAGTGTTTAGGGATTTTTGCAAATCCAATTCTTCAACATCTGCTAGTTGGGAGCATTCTGAAAGCTCTGATAGTGATGATGGAAGCTCTGAGGTGCAATCGAGAACTCCGCAGTAAAAAAGATCTAGTTCCTTGAGATTGGTTATGTGAAAAAGTGACGATAATTTGAGACTTTGACAGGTGACATTCAAGTATATTAAGCTCGAAGGAAGAACCGGCAGTGATTGGAGTTCCCTACACTGCCAAGTATTTAACTTTCGGAGCTTTTTCAGCCTTCCAATACCATTGGGTAATTCTTTCATTCCGGTGCCACCAATATCCAAAATTTCTAGATTCTTCAAATCTCCTATGCTGTCTGGTAATTCTTTTATCTCGGTGCTACTCATATTCAGAATTTCTAGATTCTGCAAAGCTCCTATTCTCTCTGATATTTCTCTTATCTCTGTGCTACTAATATTCAGAATTTCTAGATTCTTTAAAGCTCCTATGCCGTCTGGTAATTCTTTTATCCTGGTGCCACTTATATTCAGAATTTCTAGATTCTGCAAAGCTCCTATGCCATTTGGCAGCTCCTTCAGCATCTCGCATCTCGCCAAGTCCAAGCGTACCAGGCTCTCCATGTCTCCAATAGAAGAGTCAATTTGCTCCAGTCTTGAACAATTTTCAAGTATCAGAACCTCTAAATTCTTAAAAGCTGAGAGGAAGAAAGTTTCTTCTAAAGATCCACAAGATGTAAGGTCAAGAAATTTTAGCTTCTTTGCCATCTGATAAAGGATAGAATAACCCAAAGTGATTATGATTCAATAGAAAGCAAAAAAGAAGAAGAAGAAAAGTCTTTGTTCTATCAACTTACCATGACGTAGCTCCATCCTTGCCATTTATTTGAAATCAAGCTTCCTGACAATTCGAGTGCAACTAATTCCTTTACATAAAAATTCTTTGCTTCGAAAGTAAGGGGACAATTGCGCCATTGAAGCCATCTTAGCTCCTCAATTGAGTTCTTAAAATCTCCACTAAAATGTGCCCCGCTCACATGAAGGAACCTTAGTCTCCTTAAATTCTTGAATTGTTCGTCTGCATGTATATTGCCACCTAGGCCAGCTGTTGCGTCGAAGCTAAGATAAATGGCCTCAATCTTTTCGGTTCCCTAGAAATAAGAATTAATGTTCATTAATGCTATTTATATCCAACAAAAGTAATGTAGAATCATTTGTTCACAGTGCTATTAACATGCATCCATGTCTTTAAGAGACTAGCAAAGTGAAGATATGATTTCCTTTTTTGGTCTGTAAACAATATATATAAAGTCGTAATGAAGTGAAGGATGTCAACTTCGATTTTGAAATTTGGCCATGAGTACTTGGATCTTAAAAAGTATTATGATGTGCTCTTTCTTTTAGTTTTATTTTATTTTGTACAGTTTATAGTATCTTGTATATATTATTAACGTACTTTTACCCTTTGATCTAATGGCTCATTGAGGGTAAAACTTTACTACTTGTAAATCCTCTTCTTTCCAGTGATGTAGCTTCAGTACTATACAAGTTATTAGGCACATGCAATGCACGGGATTTAATTAAATTACAATGTGCAGAATCAAAGTTGATTTGATCAATTTTAAGAGAAATAAAATTCTCTCTGTAATTTTCATAATAGATATCCAAATGAACAACAATCACGTAGGGACATAGTTATCAGAATAATTTTGACAATTGGGGAAAACAAACTTCTCAAAGAGAATTTAATCTTTTGAAGTCCTTTTCTTTTTCATTTTATCTTATGTATAAATTTCGTACATATTACATGACAGTGCTACTTACGATTAATAAAAGTAGCTAAACTTGTGATAGTAGTTATATAAACATCAAATGTGATTTTTATTTATAGTAACTGTCCTCATTTAATGACTTTGATTAATTTTAAATTGAATTCATTATCATTTCTGAATTATGAAAATTGAAGCTGTTCTCGGCCACATGAAATAGCTATTAATTCCTTGGTCCCCTTAGCTATTTCTAATCTATTTTTGAATCAAACGAATGAATAATTGCTTCATCAGGATGGATTTGAAATATAATAGCTTTTCCTGTGAATCAAATATGCAACAAGCTTTCACCAAGAAAAATCACTTTTCCATAAGTTAAGAAGTAACACGGAAAATTCAAGAATTGTCAAATCCATGTTAGTTTCTCTCAACAAGAAAATTTCTCTTTGTACTTCACAATGTTGTATTTGATTTCATGGATACTAATCTGGCCTTATGCCACTGCAGCCACTTGAATTGACTTAAGCAAGATCGAGTGACAGCAAATGGGATGACTTGACACCATACCACAGAGGGTTGTGCCTCGTCATACCGTTATTTCAACCAAGGTTCGTAATGCTTATAAATATTGATATATCGTTATACAATTGGTAAAATATAATCTATGGCTTTGTTCGTTTCCCGGAAAATGAACGATTTAAAAAAAATATTCTCCTAAAAATGATTGCTTCAAACCCTTATCATTTCTTCCTTCCCTTGCCACATCATTCCCTTTTTTAACCAATTTTTCCTCCATCAAATATTCCAACAATAATTGAAAGACGACCAATAGATCATATAATTCGTCGACAAGGAATTAGATCTCAATACCTTAAAAGGAATCCAAGAGAAGAGTAGTTATAAAAATTTAAATTATTAAATGAATGTATGATTTAATATATAAATATTCTATTACTCCCTCTAACGATTAATTTGATCTTTTTATCTTACATAACTCACCGTGCTAACGTATACGGTGAGTCATGTCAACCAACACAAAAACCGATTGCCAAATTTCTACCATTTTGTAAAGAAAAAAAGGTCATTTGTGGTCATGATTAACATGGCTCATTGTGCACGTCAGCACAATGAACCATGTAGGATGACACATGGTAATTTAGGGTGAGAAAATGTGGAAATTGTGACGGGTGGCATTTTTGTCTCACGAGTGAAAAGGTTGATCTTTTCTCTGGGAAGTTTGAAAAATTGCGCTATTTTCACCCCGCATACATAAGATTGGTCTTATTTTCTTTTCTTTTTTTGTATTTTGTATGGTTGTGTTATTGTTTTCCTAGGTGCAAAAGGTTGTGCTTATTTTTGTTTGGCTGTATACTCACTAATATTTGAGGAGCAAGTTATGAATGTGTTTCAATTAGGCTTTATGTCTTTTCATTTCTGTTTATTTTCTTCGTCGTCCTTGTGCTCTTCTCCATGCTTCGCACTTCACATCGGTTATTTTATCAAAGTTGACTGAGTTTTAAGATAACATATTATGAGAATTACTTTAGATATTTTGATTAAATGTAGGAATAATCTTAAAAGAAGATCTTGTTTCAGTTTTATCAAAACCACTTTCATTTCAACTAATGATAGTACCATGAATGAAGAAGGAAAATGAACCCAACAAAAATACTGAGCTAATTACATCGATCAATTTACCTTTTTAGTTGTAAAAGATAGTAATACCAGTTTTTATAGATATAAATATACAGCATACTCATTTTTCTGTTGGTTGGTTTAGTTTATGTTAGGATGTAATACGAAAGACATCTTGGCTTTGAAAATGATAGCATATGATACGGCTCTTGAGATTTAAAATAGGTTGCACGTTGAAAGTGCAAACAAGTGCTACTCTTTCGAGCAACAACTTTGAGTCAAACCAAATGATGGATTCAAAGTAATAGAGTCAAAACTATGATTAATTTCAAAAATACGATACAATCACATACTTCATTTTGCACAAAACAGAATTTTAGAGTTATTATCTCTGGGACATTTTATGGGGAAAAAATAAAACAATTCTCTTTTTAATGGTCAATGCATGAAGTACGCTCAAAGTTATACGTATCTATATTTATATTGCTGTTCTATCATGTAAATTTTGGTAAAAGGAACTTCTAACCTAATATTACACGAAATAAGTATCCCTTCCATTCTCAAATATGGTATAATGATTGAAATTTCATGAAAAATACGGGCATGGTTTCTCCTGTTATATTAATTCTAACACCGAGAGATTAGAATTCTATGATTACAATATCCTCAGTAGCTATTTTTCACGGTAGCATATTCAAGTTAGTCATTGCATGTGTCAAGGAGGTAACAGAGTCAATTAGAGAAATACAAATTTTTTCAAGATAGAATACCCCTATAAGTATCTAGTAAATTTGAAAGTACCCATTCTTGGAGATAATGCTTGTTTAGGAAAAATCTCTGATAAGCTGCAATACTTACTAAGAAAGAGCGACCTCTTACTATCTAATAACGTCAATGAAATGACACGAGGGAAATAATATTACTAGGTCCTCTGTTCACTCGAGCGCAAGCACTAAGTAGAGGACCAACATCACTCTGATAGTAAATAATGGACTAAGGGAGCAAAAGAAGAGACACGGTTACCTTATTTCTCTTTAGCACTTTCATAACTTCGTCGGTATCCCATAACCTGCTACGGTATTGAGGCTCTCTCTCGTTTTCCTTGCAAACGATATCTCTACCAAGATCTCTCAATTGGTCATGCATTCTGAGCTCATGACCATCTCCAACTTTTATTAATGACATCAATCTCAATACTTCAATTCCCTCATTTGGAAAGAAGTCACAAGTGTCCCACATGTAAGATGCAATTCTCCCATCAGTGCCAATGAAAAAACAAGCAATATCCAAAAATATTTGTTGTTGTCCATACTCTAGTGCATCATAGCTTATTTTTAGCTTTTCTTGCACTTTCTTATGAGGGACCTTTCTTAATTTTTTTATCGTATCTCTCCATATGTTTGGCTTTTTATCGCGTAGAAATGAACCCAAAACCTCCAAAGATAAGGGAAGCCCTCCGGTGGCGGATACAACATCACGAGTGAGGACCTCAAATTCACTTGGAGGAATATCCTTTCTAAATGCATGTCTACTAAACAAAATCGAAGATATATCCTTATCCATTTCCTCAAGTTCATAGTTGCAGTCCACCTCGGCATTGTCAAGAATACTCTTGTTTCTGGTGGTAATAATGATTATACTTCCCGAAGAAAACCAATTGTGATTTCCAGCCAAAGCCATCAACTGATCATCATCATCCACATCGTCAAGAAGAATTATGACTTTCTTACCTTCAAACTTGGATGAGATAAACCTAATCCCCTCATCCCTATTAGAAACTTGATTGCTATGCTTCAATATATCAGAGATTAATTGATTTTGCAAGTATTCAAGGCCATTGCGCTTACATGATTCCCTAATATCAGCAATGAAGCTACGATGCTCAAATTTGTTGGAGAGCTTATTGTAGATGGTTTTAGCAAGAGTTGTCTTACCAATACCTCCCATTCCGTGGATGCCCACAAATAGGGTGGCACGAGAATTGTTATTGACAAATTCCATAACCTTCTCGATATGTCTATCGATTCCGACCAGATTCTCAGAAATAACCAACTGAAACTCTTTCTTCAACTCGTTCAAGACTTTTCGGACAACCGATTTCACCAATTCTCCTTCATACCTGTTAAATGCAACAAGAGTTCAAATACATGGAAATAGTAATTTTATATTGCCAATCTAATGAGAACACTGTAATCCATAAATTTGAGGATAAAAAAACTTTAAGAATCTATTTGTCACACCTCCATATATAATCTTATATGCTAAGATTAAAAGTGGAAAGTGATGGTGGTTGCTTCAAGCATGCTGACATTCCATTTTTGCTATGGTATAATCTATTGAGCCAGAAGAAACCTGAGGGTATCGCTAATGAATATTGAATATTACATGAATTATGGATCTGAATTAAATTTTAAAGTTATTGATTGTTAAAGTTATTAGGGATGATGTGGACGTGTCATTAAAAACTTTCTATAGCATTTGAATAGCAAAACCCAATAAGTCGACCCAATATGAGAGTTTAGCCATCAATTAATAAATAGATTATAACTTTTAACGCAAGAGGAATTTAAGTCTTAAAAGTCGTTCAGAATGTTATATTATGAACTACCTAAATATAATTGAGGGAATTTCTCTATGCTTGTGCAATTCTATGTGGTCGCAAGTTTCTACTCTTGTTGTGAATTTAGTATCATTCCAGATTCGTGTTCTTATCAATTTTCTTGGAGCCATGGGATGATAATAGGTTGTATTTTATTTTCCTTTTAAGTATCTATATTCTTTGACTATAATTGATCTAATATTGATTTATGGGGAAGTAGAAGAATGATTTTTCCCCATAAGAAGAACATTCTTCAACTTATGCGGGTGTATGAGATAGAAATTATTGGTCGAAGACAGGAAAATGCATTGAACATTATTAAGACAAATATATAATAAAGAAAATCTTTTTTTCCTTCTTTATATTTGCAATCATCATATATAACCAATGAAATATTTCATTTGTAATTTTTTTAATAGCAATTAATTGACGATGTTAATAATTTAATAAATATAACTTGCGAAGAAAAAGAATTATGGCTTTGTCAATCAACATGCACGTTATATGATGTCATGAGCTTTAAACAGGAACCACCAATAAGATGTACTATCAATCTCAGATAAATATGTAAATAGAAAAGTTTGTGATGGAGATTAATGTAGCTTACACTACAAACATGAAAAAAAAAAAAAAAGGCACGATGCTACAAAATCTATGGACATAAGAGTAATAACTCAATGAAAAAAATCTTATATTATTCAAGCGAATGGGATCATAACAATAAATTCTACAATTAGATTGGTCAATATCATTATAGTAATTCTTGAAAAGAATAACTTATGAAAACCATGCATCGCAAGATCTCACTGCTAGCAACATCTTACTGCTTTTCCTTTACTGAAAAAACTAATAGAAAGAAAATGAAGCAGGTAGTATCCAGAACAACCAGTAAACATCGACACAAACTAAAAGAAGGTAGAGAATGTTTTGGTGAAAACTTTTACCCATCAGCGTTCAATCCTTTCAAGGAACTGACTTCAGTGAGTGCTTGCTTCCACTTCTCCAAAATCGTAGGGTCGAAGCCCCTCTCGCGCAAACGGCTTTCACGCTCCCGAAATGTCTTTCCAAAACTCCCGATTTGATGTCGCACGTGAGCTACTTTCACTTTGTAGAATATGGGCAACACTATATGCCCCGTGCTATTATTTTTGCACTCCATTATTTGAACCAGTTCATCTAGGCACCAACTGCTCTCACCATAATTTACAGAGAGAATGGGGATTAGGATCTTACTGTTCTTGATGGCTGCCAAAAGATCTGGTCCGATCTTCTCGCCTTGGCGAAGCTCATTATCGTCTTTGAAAGCATGAATTCCAGCATCAATGAGCCCATTGTAAAGGTGATCGATGAAGCCTTTTCGAATATCTAGTCCTCTAAAACTCAAGAATACCTCATAGTGATTTCTAGTTGGTGCGGTGAACGAACTAGATCCACTGGAACTAGCTTCCGTCGGCGGCGCAATTGACGAACCGGATGCGCCAGATTCAGCATCTTTTGCATTTCCACGCACGCCAGCTTTCTTCTTATTGAGAAATTTGAACGCGAGCACGGAGAGAAGGATGGGTGCCACGAGCACGGCAAAAGAATGCCCAAAAATGGGACGATGCATCTCGTCTTTGCCCTGACTCTGCCCTTGATTTTTGCTTTCAAGGCTGCCGGAGAAGAAAAACCAGAATGCCTCTCAGGAAACACGAAATGCCTTGTGGTTGCCCATTGTCTCTTTATTGGTTTGAATTACATAATCGAACCAGCTGGCAACCAGAATCGCAACCAATAATTCAAACTTTGTCAGGCCAGATATAAATTAGTAATTCATTGACCGGGAACACTATCCAAGCGCTTACGGTCGTTGTCTTCGTGCGTGATAATTCCAATGCAGCAGAAAATCCGAGGCGATACCTGTCCAGTGAAGAATAAAATAGCTTAGCAAGTTACGATGCAGAAGCAATGAAAAGAAATAAAACCAAAACAAAAGACAAGTGCCGCTATGGTATAAGTCAGACAAGTGGCCAAGATAGATAAATACGTACGAGCGTTAGTTCCGTGGTTGCACCGTTGAGCTTTCCTTTTCTTGTGTTAGCATATTTTCCATCAGAAAAGGTATTTTGTTGAATATAATCAATAACAAGAATTTCCAAAAATATTGTAGTATCAAATGGATAATCTTCATTTCACTACTGAAATATTGTATTATCAGCGATCACTTATGCTAAGAAATTATGTTACTAACGCGTGTCAAGGATCATGAAATTATCAAACTGACTATTTTATCTGCAAAATTGTGAGGGGCTTTGCATTTGGTCTAACGAAATGTATGTTACAAAGCAACTTGCATTCGGTCTAATCGCATTGGATTTCCAAAAATCCATTTCCATAGTAATCGGTATAAGCATACATTATGGTGATTAAACAACAATAATATATACTAATAATATCATTGTCAATATAGTATATTAATATAAATCAATGCCGCACAATGTCATAGCCATGTGGCACCACATCATAAATTCTGGCATGTGTGTCATGTCACATACCGAATTAGATGAATATGATTATATGAGTTATAAGATAAAATAAGATATATACCGTGTCTCCTACCAATATCCTTTAATACTTATCAATTTCAATAGAACACTGGGAACAGCATCTCTATCTGATTGGGCTTTAATTGTTTTAGACCTATCTAAACCCCTTTCATCACAGTCAGGTAACCCATATTATTACCGGGTCATTGAATCTGAATTACAAAATGGGTTCGTCATCCATTTTCTCACCTCTAGTGATTAGCTATATAGAATGCATTATTCCAAGACATTCACGTAGTTTTTTATAGCAACGTGTCCAATCTCTAGTTGAGGCGATGAATTACTTATTGATTTGGTGATCTACTTATTCAGTTATGACGCTAATTTGCTTACAATCTTTTCCGATTTGTTGAATCGAGCAGAGTAAGGTGGTTATTTGAGATCCTGAGACGAGTGTGCAGAGAAAACTAAAAATTGAGGCATAATCCCAATAGCCACGGACAAATAAAAACTAAAAATTGTGTGAAGCACCTAATGGCCAAGAGGGAAATGGCCATCCCCTTTGGTTTCGTCATCGCTTACCACTACTAGTCGACACATTAGCAATTAATGAATAAGCACCCGCAGAGGAAGAACTAAAAACAAAGACTCTTTCGAACTAAAGTCAACTTTCATTTTGTAAATCATTCTAGCCGGGCACAGTTTTCTAGATTTTGAGGGAGAATGTCACGCCCCGAACCCTAACGGGCTCGCGACACCCCTCGATGGTCGATCATTAAATGCGACGTCCCAGGCACGTCGCCGACCCAACCCAAACATCAGAGATTAGGCATGTGCGGAAACAAATAGAAACAACCCAGACAAATAATAAGGACAAGGGGTAGCAGTAGCATGAAACAGTAACTGTAATTCCTACTCTTGGCAGATACATACGACGCTCACAAAAAGACAATCCCAAGCTAGGCCACAACAACAGAACCACATTCCTTAAAAGAGACAATAGTTCACAAACTTAACTCCTCTACAAAAAGGGGAACTCAAAATACCGGATACTCAACCCGTCCTCGATCTCCGAGATACCCTTGCAGCGTCTTCAATCACTCATGGTCGCGGATCTGAAATGGTTATATAATAACCGTGAGAACGAGTCTCAATAAGCAACCCCCTATACCCCCACATAGGCCAATGCGTACCCAGACAAGTCGTACATGCAATCTACCCCATAACATATAAAATTCGCATCATTGTACTTACCTCGTCATCAAGCCCATGCTAACTCTACACGTTAGTCATAACGTGATAATACAATAATAGTAATTAAATAACACATCACAATCGCTCAAACACCAACCACACTTACACTCAATCAATCCAACTAATTCAACCAGCCAATTCAATCACACTCAATTCGCATGCGTGACCGAACATCTTTCTCACGACCCGCGCCACTGCGCCTCAGGTCCATTCTCACTGCCCGCGCCACTGCGCCTCAGGCCCACTTGGCACACCGGCCATTCATGCTTTCGTACGGACTGCCGTCAACACGTCCCAAGTCCGTAGCCCTCCGATCAATCCTGGCTCAATTCTAATGACCGACGTAAACACGTCCCGGTCCAACACACCTTTAATGGGCCACCGTCAACACGTCTCAAGCCCGCATCCATTTGGCACACCAGCCATTCATGCCTTCACACGGACCGCCGTCAACACGTCCCAAGTCCGTAGCCCTCCGATCAATCCGGGCTTATCTCATGCACATGCACCACAACACAATTCGAAATTCTCACAAGTTGTACCAATCAAACTCAAGGCATGCTCACCACAATATTCCACCAACCCGACCTTCAAGTCGGTCACATTCAGCTATCAATTCCACTCACAACCGCCACGATAAGCCAATCATTGACTCACCACAATAGCCACAAATATGCACCCACAATCATCACAATTTCAAATCACAACCTCACGATTCCGACATTCAAGTCAACATATTCAATTAATCCAATTCACCCACAAGCGCCACGACAATTCAGTCATGCTATTTATCTTAGTCAATCACTAAATTAGCCACACAATTACCGCCACAATAATTCACAAATTGAGCACAATCAGTCAAATTAGCCCACGCCTAATTTAATTCCTAACCCGGTACCAAGCACATCCTAAACAAGTCTAAAAATACCCATAGTCCTAAATAAGGAATAGGAGGTCACTTACTTGGTTTTGGCCCGGAAAAAATCGGCTCAGGCCTAAAATGGCCCGGGTGAACAGTGCTGGACTAGGCATGGGCGCGGGCCAACGGGCGCGCTGGCCGGCCAACTGTCACGCCCCGCACCCTACGAGCGCGCGATCACCCCTCGATGGTCGATCATTGAACGCGACGTCCCAGGACGCGTCGCCGACCCAAACGAACTACGCAAGCGGAAGCGAAATAAAACAACCCGGACAATAAAATATGACGAAGGGATAGCACAAAACAATAATTCCAAATACACAACATCAAAACGGAGTAGTGGTTTGGATATCCTACTTCACTTTACAAAAGAGGGGCACACAAAAATATGGGGCAACTTGACCCGTCCTCCACTCCCGAGATACCCTGGTGGCGTCTCCAATCAATCACTGTCGCAGATCTAAAAATGGTTATATAATAACCGTGAGAACGAGTCTCAATAAGCAACCCCCTATACCCCACATAGGCCAATGCGTACCCAGACAAGTCGTACATGCAATCTACCCCATAACATATAAAATTAAATCGCATCCTTATACTTACCTCACCATCGAACCCATGCTAACACTGCACGTTAGTCATAACATGGTAATGCAGTAATAGTAACTAAATAGCACATCGCAATTGCTCAAACGCCAACCACACTTGCACGCAATTCATCTTACTAATTCGACCACACATTCAACCAGCCAATTCAATCACACGCTCAACCAGCCAATTCAATCACACTCAACCAGCCAATTCAGTCACACTCAACCAGACATTTCAATCACACTCAAATCGCATGCGTGGCCGAACATCTTTCTCACGACCCGCGCCACTGCGCCTCAGGTCCATTCTCACTGCCCGCGCCACTGCGCCTCAGGCCCACTTGGCACACCGGCCATTCATGCTTTCACACGGACCGCCGTCAACACGTCCCAAGTCCGTAGCCCTCCGATCAATCCGGGCTCAATTTCCAATGACCGACGTAAATACGTCCCGGTCCAACACACCTCTAACGGGCCACCGTCAACACGTCTCAAGCCCGCATCCATTTGGCACACCGGCCATTCATGCCTTCACACGGACCGCCGTCAACACGTCCCAAGTCCGTAGCCCTCCGATCAATCCGGGCTTATAATCGACAGGCATGCACACGCCATTCAATTCAATCAATTTCACGCCATTTGCATTAAACCATCCATATTCACATCTCAATCCAATTCACAATTCGCCACGTCAATCCACAAACCCGACGTTCAAGTCGGCCACGTACGATCACCCAAATCATGCACATTATTTTATCCAATCCAATTAGCACAATTATATCATAATATAATTAAATTAAATCACGCTCTAACCGTTCTAAACCGGAGACAAGTTATAAAATACCCGAAGTACTAAATAGGGTTTAGAAAGTCACTTACTTGGTTTTGGCCCGGAGAAAATCGGCTCGGGCCTAAAATGGCCCGGGTGAACAGTACCGAACTAGGCGCGGGCCAACGGGCGCGCTGACCGGCCAACACTGGCACGGTGGCCGATCGGCGTGCCTGGCGTGCGGGCGCGGTGGCCGATCGGCGTGCCCGGGACGCACGGCCGAGCCGGGACGAGCAAGGCGCCGGCCGAACGGGCGAGGTGCCAAGTGGCCTGGGCGAGCTCGGCCACGGCTTGGGCTGCTCGGCCACGATCGGCCAACGGCGACGACAAGGGCGCGGTTGAGCTGTTCCGGCGAGCACGGCGGATGCAAGTGGCTGAGCAAGGTCGCCGGGGCTGGGTGGTGGCGGACGGAGCAGCGGCGGCGGCCGGAAAGGCGGTGCGCGGCTGCTGGACGAAGTGGCGCCGGGGAAGAGAAAAACAGGGAGGCATCGGGGAGGAAGAAAAAAATCAGGGGAAGGGCGGTGGTCGCAGCCAAGGGGGTAGCAGGGCGGCGAAGGTGGTTGAGGGG